ACAAGCCTCCTATGTGATAGAACATTGGAGATGACAGGTTCTATTTAAAGAGAATTATGGGTCTATTAGACCCCTAGTGTCACCTTTCCACTTCAATAGCTTTAGCTGTGAAAGACCAGGAAAGTTCTCCTTCAGGTCTGCTCCTCTGTTAAATGACAGCAGGCAGTGGGCGGGTGCAAAGGCCAACCTGCTATTGGCTACTGCAATTTCAAAAATGGCAAATAGCAGGCTGGCTATTGCTGCTGGGCAGTTTATCCGAAGAGGGGGCAAGGAAGGCTAGGAAAAATAAACCCCCCCCCCCAAAAAAAGCAGCATTGTCTGTTACAAATATCTCCTGCGGTGGAGAGAACTAAAGAGCCAAATGCTGAAGGCCTGGTCATGTCTTTGGCAAGATCTTGACCAAAAAGATGCCTAGCTTCATAAGGTATGTAAAGGAGATGTTGGATTGTATCTTCGAAATTCAAAGAACATATCCAAAGTACTCTACATGCATAAGGGCAGACATAGTAGTCACATGAGACACTCATCCATTTTTATTCATCCAAAAGGCCCAGAAAGTAGAACTGAAGAGCATAATGAAATTGTTTCACAAGCTGTAAAACACTAGGATCCTGACCAGAAAAGGAGGGGTCAACCATAATGGTTGTAATCCAATCGGACACGGCTTCGTAGACTAGGGTTGCTGTCAGAAGAGGGTTGAGAGTGGTACTAGACAGTTCCAGGTAATACATAAAAATATATTCCGAGTATCAGTAAAGTCCCTAAAGGTAAATACATTAATAAAAGGTAGTAAGATGGTGTATATTCAACTTGAGGAGTGTATGGTCCAAAGGGAAACATTTCTTCACATGATCACATGATCTGGCGCAGGCCACAAGTGAAGGAGGAGTTTTCCAGTCTTCCATTAGGAAGTTTTCTAGATAGGAACGTACAGGAAACGTCTGAGAAAAAAAAGGCAAAAACCGGTGTACCTGGATCATCAGATCGATGTCCTATGTTCAAGGTAGTGCAGACAGCATCAACCAGGTTGGGAGGAATACTGTGCAAATGAGAACAGTGCCCCATGCAGAGACATAGTACAGATAGCACTTACCAAGATATCTGCATCACAGAGACACTAGAGACTGAGTACACCAGAGCTGTAACACTGCTCTAAAAATGTCAACCCCTCATGTGTCTAACTGACGAAGTACACAGGCCTGAAAATTGCCAAAATGCAGAGATTTTAGCACACAACAAAAAAAAAATCTAAACTAGATATCTGCATCAGAAAGATACATTATGGACTGGGGGCTGCACCACTGCTCAAAAAAACTGGAAAGCACTGACTGACAATAACCAGAGGTCTTGAAAGCGCCATATGCAAAACCCAGTACCTAAAAGGTCACATGCCAGTATCTCTTTACCCCGTCTAATGGCATACATTTAAGGGAGACTTGAAAACAACGGGGACAGAGTCATGGCCCTGGACCTGCTAAGCACCCTGTGGCTAACAAAACAGTACACTAGATGTCTGGGGAGTGCCACAAGCAGAGTAGAGTACCCGAAGGTCACCTTACAGGCTGGCCCTTCAATCTTTGGTACTGAGGAGCATGGCCTTTAAGGTGGCACCAAGAATTATCCAATCCGAATAGCTGCATAAAGAGCCTAGCTCAGTAGCGTGTTAATTGAAGTGTTGACTGAAGCCTTGGTTGAAGAGAAAAAGCATAGATGAAGAATTGAGAATGTTGATGGAAGAGAAAAATTAGTAAATGCACACATAGTTTTCCTCAGCATTGCTGAGAAGAAAGTGTCCACCCTCTTAAGACACTAGCAAAAATGGATGCATGATAATTGGAGGCAAGGTTATACAGTAGGGTGGATTAACTTTTGTTTTTGCCAGTTTCCAGTTGGCCTAAAGGCAGCAGTATAACCCAGCTGTATAAAATTTGTACTGATCTTGTGTCCCTCAATTGACGATAAAGAAAAGTAGTTAATATACAAAGAAGCTCTGGCTGCACCCTGCCTTATGGTATATTTTTAACATATTTTCAAATCACAAATGAATTTGATTCCAATATAGAAAGCATATATTAATAACACTTACCACAATATTGGGAATGATAACAGCAGTAAGTTGCTTGATGTTAACAGTTGTGTCTTTCACTAGCATAAATATTCGCTCAGCTTCAGAAAAACAAGAAATCTGCAACACAACAGCACCTGGAAAAAAACAGCAGTAATTAGATCCACAAATGATTATACATTTGGTGTTAATTATCATATACAATTATACATACTAAGCAATTAACATGAAATGTAATTATAATAAATATCAGTTCATCGCAATAAGAGTTCAAGAAAATCTGACTGGTACACACATAGCAGGCCCCACCACTGCTGGTACATACCTTTCCCTGCTGCCTGTTTGCCTGCTGGAGCTCCTCCAAATCACTGCGTAATAGAGAGGCGGTGGGAAATTAATGTAAAGTGTGAAATGTAAAGAGCAGGCCCTTTCCACTGCTGCAAGTCCCCGTCTACATGCTCCACTTTCCTTTCTCTGGACATATTACTTCCAGAGGATAATATAGGGGAACCTGTGACTCCCTTCATTTTCTCCTTTAAAGTAGTACTTGCCCTTAGCAGCAAATTGCCAGGCCTGGTGGGTATTATGTGGGGAGAGGACCTAGGCAGACTGAACTCAGAGCTTACAGAAGGACTCTGGAAGGAGCACCAGCATGTGAACAGCACAGTGGCAGGAGTAACAGTAGCAAAGCAGGCCTGCAAGGCAGCAAACCTGTCTCTGTGCCCTGGATGCACAAAGCATAGGTTAGATTTGAATAAACCAAATCAATATATCATAGGATATATTAAAAGAACACTATTTGTCAGATATTTCAAGCACTGTGTATGAAAAATTATATTAATGAATTTACATTTATACAAGTGTTGCATTTATGTTTGTGCTCTGAACATCGCAAAATGTTGCCATGAATGCTCAACATAGGATGTCTGCTAACTGTGTGCAAGTGTTTGCGTACATTTCATCCATATTACGATATTTCCTAATATTCACAAATATTAATCTTATTTTAACTACTGTGAGTGTAAAAATGGAAGATACTGTACTTTACCTTGAGGGGCATAAGCTGGAACCACAGTCACCACATTTTCTGGAAGAAAGATTAAATATATTGTGCCATTAAATTCCAATTCTGAATGCACTGAACAAAATCTAGACACAGTTTACTTCAATGTATGATGATGCTCTGTCACTTTGCTTTCTTCTTGAATCAGCATGTACCTTGTTAGCACTTGAGCACTGCAGCACAGATGACAGACTCCTTGTGCCGTTTCTCAATCTCCCATTCTGCATATACAGTGAACTGCCACAGGCTGATACAAAGTAACATTCAGGTACTTACACTGGTTACATTTAATGATGAATCCACAGATACAGAGCTGCATTAATTTAGGACTTTTATATCTGCCTGAAGTCCAGCTTTAAAAAAGAACAAGGAATTAAAAAAAAAAACTTTCCCTGTAGTAGGGCTACACCTGCAGTGTAAGGGTTAAGTGATTGTTTTGTCTAGGGGAGTAGAAAACAAAGCTAATACTCACCTGATCCTTGGTCCCACCAAGCTGCTAGACTGATCCCTGCAGCCTCTTCTCCACTGGGCTCCAGTGGTTTTAGGACTGCTGACGTCATCACCTCTTTTACCGGTCTATTGACTTGCAATAAGGTGCCCACACACCTTGCGATAATCGTACGATAATCGCAGGAAATCCCGCGATCGTACGATTATCGTAAGGTGTGTGGAAGACGTGCAACCTCTACTACTGTAAGGTCGCACGACATCTATCTTAGGAACATGTTCGAAACACCACCGAGAATCGTACGAGGTCAGCGCTGACACTGGTGTGACCGAGGATCAGGTGAGTAGATCTGCCTTTTTGATCCCCACCTTGAAAAAACACTTAAAGTGGACCTTTACCCATATCTTTAAAATAACTAACACACCTTTAGAAATGTTTAGTAATGACAATCTACAAACACATACTTCTAGATAATTGCCGGCTTTGTATTCCTTGCATCGCTTATTTCTCTTTTCTTCCCCAGACTTCTGACAGTGGCCATGTTTACTAAGGGCAGATTACTAGCTCTCCTTTTACTTCCTGAAACTCTGGAACATGTGATTAGGACATGTGACCACGCACATCATCTCAGGGAAGGAAAATGCCTTTCCCTGAGATCTCATGAGTTTACAAATGAGATTTCCCAGCAATGATCTGCTGATTTAACCTTCCCAGGATGCAATGCTTTGGCAAACTGAAGTCATTTTGCCCTTTCAAAGTAGGAAGTGAATGCTCTGCAAGTGTAAGTATTTCAAAATCACAACATTTTACACCTGACATGTCTGTGTTATTATTAATCATCGTACATAGAGGGATGCATTGGTAGAATTTGATTTTTGAATGTAAAGGTCTGCTTTAACCCTTGCATTGAGGGGGTAGTCCCACTACAAGGGTAAGTTTCTAAAATTCTTCTTTAAGTCTCATAAAAATCTTTTAGAGCCTATCTTTAGAATAGTTCATACTTAAGACTTATCTTGGATTACTAGATTAGGTGTGAACATGAACCACATTTAAAATCGGATAACTTTGTTTCAATAATAAGCTTGTAGAAATCAGCTTTTAACCAAGCTATTATATAGGCTGCCTATACAACTGAATTTTCATAGGAATATTGAAAGAACAAAAACATTGCAGGTTTAAAGGCAACCAAGTTAAATAGGAAACATTGTTCAAGATTAATGTAAAACTATTTGAAATATCACCCACAGCAAATGATCATTTTTGGAAAATGACAAATATACATTTTAGAGCACAGGGCAACTACAATGTAAAATAGACGAGTTTCTCCAAATGCCAGAAAATACTGATAACCTTACAATCATACAAGCCATGTACAAACATTGCAAAATAAAGTTTCTACCGTGTTTTGAATAATGATCATTCTATAAAAAAAAAATTTTAAAATAATATCACTCAAACCATCTGCATCCACTTACCCTTTATTCCTAAACTATCTCTTAAGATATTGGTGTATTCTTCCCCAGACATCAAGACTGGTAAACCACTGACCAACAGCTCAATTTGAAGCTCAGGCTTTGTATTTTCTTCCACGTAAAACCTGGTTTGGTTCATCTGACGTATAGAAGTCTAAAATGTAATACAAAGAAAGACTATAGGTTTTGGCTAGCTTACAAAGACAATGTACACGCTGTAATATCATATACAAAACTTATTTCAGTTACAAGCTGAGTTTGGTTCACTGAATCACCCACTGGCTTCTTAAATTTGCTAGTGATGAGATTTCCCTGACATATTTCCAACAGTCTTAGCGCTTTGCATGTACTTGCCCACCTTTCTGCCCACCTTGGGAGATTAGTGTCTCTCAAGCAAAAATTTAATAATACGTTTCGGTTGACCTTAAAGTTAATGAAATAAAAACAACACAAACCTTGCGAATATCTTTCAATCGGTCAAGCATTAACTCTTCAACTGGAAGCACCATTCTCTGTACTATCAAAAGAGAGATTATTAATAACAATCATAAAGAGACAGTATCAAATGTTGTCAGAATACACAAAGTTATCTGCTTATTTATGGTTTACTTTACTACAGCAGACCCATCACGGTGGGGGGGGCTGGAATATATAAAAAAAGTGTCCGAGATAAACTTTGTCTCAGCTGGAGTGCAGCCAACGAACTTTTACATTTTCATCTTCTAAGTGGTGTGTAGAAATGAAAGATAAAAGCCGATTGGTTGCTATGGGCAACTGCATCAATTGAGAAAGAACTTGTGCAAGACACTTTTAGTTACCCCCATTGTGTGCACATATATATTAAGCGCCTTTATTTGCTCGTTATAGAAAGTTCAACAAACATCTTTCAAAAATGCATACACTCAGAGCTGATCCTGCAGAAGACACAGTACTTGGATGATGTAGTTAATTCTTGTCTGTACTAATTCCACTCACCATACATAAACTAAGAGGTAACCAGTGGCATAACAATAGCCATAGCGACCCAGGCGGCCGCTATGGGGCCCGGCCAGGAACCCCCCTGATGCCGTGGGCCGCCTGGGTCGCTATGGGTTCGAACGCACCGCTGTTCAGATCACCGTGATCTGTGCAGCGCTGCGTTCTTCTTCATTGCCGCTGCTGAGTCAATGAGCAGCGGTGGAGGAGGCTGGACGTGGCGGGGAGGAGGCGGGGCCCGGGGGTAAGCATCAGAGAAGGAGGCGGGGTCGGTGAGCCCACCATAGAGAGAGTCTATGGTGTGCTCTGCAGGGTCCCCCTCAGGTGAGCTATGTGGGCTCTTCAAGGGGTGTAACTAGAAATCACAGGGCCCCATACAAAATTTTGCTATGGGGCCCTGTGATTTCTAGTTACGCCCCTGGAGGTAACAGTAGCAAAAACCATGTCCCATGGTGTTCCACGAGGGAGCTATATCTGCTATAAAAGGTCTCTCCTTCCCTGTAACAGGAATGGTCTTGACTATTCACTAAAATAAGAAAAATAATAGGAGTCACATGCATCGAAAAGGTCAACAGAACAAAACATTTGAAAGAAAAAAGTATAGGTGTTGCTCCTGCCACCATTAAAAGTTTCTATCCTGCACTAAAATGCAATATTGTAAATGTTAACATTAGGGATGCACTGATACAGATACTAGTATCGTTATCAATGCCGATACCGAGTATTTGGGCGAGTATCCGTACTCGCCCAAATGCTCAGATACTTACCTCCAATACCGGAACTACCGGTCAGAGGGAGATTTCCTCTGACCGGCAGTGCCGCGAGGGAACATGAAGATGGCTTCCCGGTCAAACAGAAAGCTGGGTGGCCCGACTCCCCGGTTCGATGCAGTTTGACGCTGACTGACGGGGAAGCCAGCTTCCAGGCCAATCATCATGGAGCTGGCTTCCCGGACAATCAAGAAGCAGCGGGTAATGACACACTTCCCGATTATCCGAGAGGCTGGCTTGATGCTGTTTGGCCGGCTCGATGCCGATTGGCTGGGAAGCAGGCTTCCCGGCCAATCAGCATTGAGCTGGCCAAACAGCATGGAGCCAGCTTCCCGGGCAATCAAGTAGCCGGGTGGCGGGTAATAACACACTGCCCAGCTTCTTGATTAGCCAGGAGGCCAGCTCCATGCTAGGAGAAGTACCGGTATCAGGAAGTACCGAAAGATAGATATCGGTACTCTTACTCAATATGAGTAAAACCGATAGGAATATATATCAGTACTCGATATGAGTAAAACTGGTATTGGTGCATCTCTAGTTAACAGTTCCTCTGAAGCCCATATACAAGGACCACTGCATTATGCCAATGGCTTTACAAAATAAAAATTCAAACTTATTACCTTGCTTACTGCCCATAAGAATTTCCACCAGCCTGAAATCCTCTAGATGTTCCTTCTACAAAAACATGCAAAATCCATGTAACTATGGTTGTATAAACATGTATAACATGCAGTTAGAAAGACTATAAAGGCCCATTTACACTGTAGTATTGTTGCAAAATGTGCATTTTACTGTTTACTGTTTTACCGCTGTGCTTGTGGTGCCATTCATTTAAAATGGTGCCCCAATGTACTATTATAGTAGCGGGTAACACACCTGGGCTGTTGCCTTGCATCGGCATTCTTTTCATAATGAATGGGTTGCCTTAATTCATTAACATAATCCAAAGAAATGCAAAAAGTCCCTAAAATATAGTGTAAAGAAACTTGTCTTACCTGACGCCCAACTTGTAACAGAACCTCCTGAATGAAATCCTGCACGGTGGTCTCAGAATTTACAGGAATGGAAATATATGCCATACCAACTCTAAAATAGAAAAAAAGAAAATGGAGCATTACACTTACACAATTTCTCTTCAAGACTTCTCATATTTGTTACCTTCAGCTTGAAATATGATCCCACCTAAATTATGGGACAGAATATAAAGAGTGTCCTACCATGCTTCCACAGTGCTTTCTAGTAAGAAAGCATGACTGCACAAAAAAAGCATAGTCAATTTATAAACAGAACTAGAACTGGCCCACTACAGCCTAAAATAAGAGCTTTCCTAGAAAACAAAGTCAACAGATGGTGAAGAAAATACACCTAAAACATTATTTTTCTGCTTCCTTCACTGTAGAGAAATACAGTACCTCATGTACCAGGCATACTGCACCTAACTGAAGAGGAGCTTTGGATGCTCTGCCACAGACCGCTCCCATCAAACCTTTTGTGAGCTAATAGAGCTTGCCATATCTTCCACGTTTTAGCTGCCTGAATAATCACTTACTGGCTATTCTGTAATTACGACAGAAGTATGATAAGGATACCAGAATATGTAAAATTAGAAACCTTATTTAACTGGAGTGTAAGAATAGGGGTCTGCATACAGTTAGATCCTAGACTTACTTATCAGATTAATTTTAACACACTCAATTTCTGATCTACTTTTAAATTAAAGAGAAGCTTTTAAAAGTGCGGATGATATGAATGCCAGACCACTTTTTACCCTTACTCCATCACAAGTCAAAGAGCTAGAGTTGCCCTGCCAGCTGAAATCTGCACTATTGTAGGTCACCTGAAAACATTCCATACATTCTCCAAATTTCTCTATAGATTACTGCCCAAACATATTTTTTGGAAGTAGCACCTCCACCATTCAACCTATACAAACAAGTCTCAACTATCCTGCACTGAAAAAGCTCCAGCAACATATCACCATTTTAAAGCATAAAGCTCAAAGTTATTTTTAGATGTGGATTGAGCAGTGAGGGGTTGAAAGCCCAGTCATGTTGTTTTAATTATTTTTTTTATTATTGCAGAAATAAAAGGGTATACAGTTAAGTATACAGTTACAAAATCAACACTTAAATAAGCATGTACAGTACACCAGTAGTTGCATGGCAATTTGTATAAAAGGAAGTACTTTCTTGATCATCCTTTTTCCATTCGCATAACTATGGGTTCTGTAGTTGTCCACTGTCGGACAACAGTCTTTTTTGCGTTAAAGTACAAAAGGTGAACAAATTGTTTCTTAGCAGGGTACAACTCAGAAATTCCCAGCAAACCTAATATACATTGTTTAGGGTTGCAAACATTAGGGACTGAGAAATTATCAAATATTGTGACTGCGGACCAAAGAGGCCTCACTTTTTTCACAGCTCCAAACCAATGTGTATCAACTTACCCTATGCATCAACTAAGAAAAAGATGGGGCTTTAAAAGGTGTCATGTAACGAATGCAAGGAGACTTAGTTCAACATAACACAAAAGTCACATGTTATATAAAAAAAATATAGTTTTCTTTAATTATTATTAAAATTCATGATTGACATATCAAACAACAAACTGACATATCCACCACTTTCAATTAATGGCACGAAACCTCCCTGGAACACGTATAGATATATATATAGATATATCTATATATAGATATATCTATATATAGCTATATAGAGAGATATATAGATATATATATTTCCTGGCTCAACTCATGTCGGCATACCTACGGGTCAGCTCCTCCCCCCTGAGCCCACAGGACCACCCTTAAACTAGCTAATAAAAGACAAGCTCCCTCCTCCAGTACCTGGTCTCTTTTTTTCCTCACTCCAGGCCACAGTGTTCATGGACCCTCCCTGCCATCTCCCAGCTGGATTCAGCCTCTCCCGCGCTTGGAAGACCCCTCCGCTGGCAGTAAATCTCCTTGGGAGCGGGTGCCCGTGGTACGGGGTTGTGGAGGGGAGCTATGGTGTCCTCTTTCCTGTTTTTCTTCCACCGCTAGAGTAGCGGCGAGCGTGATACCTACTGCGCATGCGCCGGCGTCAGAGTCCCGGAATCTGCGCAGGCGCGTGGATTGCTATGGGGACGGCGGGACGCTAGCGGCCGCGCAGGCGCAGTAGGGCCATTCGGGCCGGCCAAAATTCGGACGCTCCTACCATAGCTCGGCAGGACACGTGTATTCTGCCTGGTCAGCTGGTTCATTGGATACTGGTGCTGCGGCTGTGTGGGGCGTCCTGTCGGTGTTGTGTGATTTTATGGTGTAATTTACCCACCCATGAGGGAGTTTGCTTGCTATATCCCGTAGGTATGCCGACATGATTTGAGCCAGGAATAGGGAAAATTGTTATCATACTTACCGTAATTTTCTTTTCCTGGCTTATACTCATGTCGGCATACATTCCCTTCCCTGGTGGCCTGTCGCTCAGCTTGTTATTGAACAGGTACTGGGGGAGGGAGCTTGTTTTTTATTAGCTAGTTTAAGGGTGGTCCTGTGGGGTCAGGGGGGAGGAGCTGACCCGTAGGTATGCCGACATGCAGAGTATAAGCCAGGAAAAGAAAATTACGGTAAGTATGATAATAATTTTCCCTAATATATATATATATAGGGCTTGAAAAATCTCACCAGTCAGTCAAAAATTTCCCCAGTCAGCATGACCGGACTATAGCCTTGCAATATATGTTAAAAAATTTTGGGGACAGATAGAGCTTTGTTTTGTGACCCCCACGGGGGGTTATTTGTTTTTACGTTATAATGAAAAAAGTACCATAAATGTAAAAAAAAAAAAAGTTTCCCTATGTTATAAAACATTTATTCTTACCCATATTTTTAGTACAACATAAAAGTCGGGGTCACGTCGTGTAAATAAGACACCAAACATGTCAAGCCTTAAAATTGCGTGCGCCCCCAAAATCGCAAAAAACGCCCATAGGCGACGATTAAAATGCTTTTACTGCTCATCAGTTTAGTGTTATCAGTGATTGATGGCTCTAGAATTATTGCTCTCACTCCGACATTTGCGGCGATATGTAACATGTGCAGCACAATAGGCGCAATCGTCGTTTTCGCACGTAGGCGCACCCGACGCATATCTACGTGTGTATGTGGGGGGCGGGGGACTTAAAAAAATGTTTTCTTTTTTAATTTTTTTTTATGCTTCTTTATTTATTTTTTTATGATTCTTTAATTTTTATATTACTTTTTTTTTTAACACAACTTTATTGCTATTACATGGGGGGCTAAGAAGCCCCCTATGGGATAGCTAATTTACATGACAGGTCCTCTTAATGGAGACATCAGGGGTCTCCAAGACCCTAAAGTCACCTAGGGACCCCCAGAGAAGCTGATGAGGCAGAGATCGGCTTCATCAGCTTCTCTAGCTGGAGAGTGACACTGAATGCAGGAAGTGATGTAATATACATCACTTCCTGCATTCGGGGACTGAGAGGAGATCAAAGGGAGTTCGTGTACTGACCTCCCTTTGATCTCCTGTCACAGAGCCGTGCCGGTCCCGGCCGCATCGGGCACAGCGGATCTCGGGACCGGCAACGGCAGTGACAGCTGCTGATACAAGCGATCGAGCGTCTCTATAGACGCTCGATCGCTTGACTGTAAAGCTCCCGGCCGGCCGTGTAATTACAGCGGCCGGCCTGGAAGCTGCTCGTCGGGCTCCACTGTCTGCTCGTCACAGACGAGCAGACGAGTGGATTTTCGAGCCCTGTATATATATATATATATATATACACACACAAAACAAATTATAAAAATATCTCCTTATTTATCTCCTTATAATATCTTTGTGTATTTTCATAAATAGTCATGTCCGTCGAAAAATGATCTGTAGTTCTATACTGTTTCCAGCCTTCAAGGCTTATGTAGTTCTATACCTGTTCCAAGGAGGTTGAAGTGGACCCCGCTAAATAAGGAAAATTCACTCAATTTTTTGGGGGGGCTCACGAAGGCTGAATATAGCTGAAAATAAGTTGCTAAACCATTCAAATTGCCAAAATGCCTAGCACACTGAAGAGGCTGCTACAGGGGTAACATTGTATGCACGAATTTTAGCGGACTCTAGCATTCATGCAAATTTTATTGCAGAAAGGATTACCATTACAGGAAGTAAACTGAGGAGCTAAAATGCTGTGAGCAAAAATTGTTATATATATCCACAGGTTTGGAACAGAAACGTGATGTTAAGGTTTCAGCAGTTTGTACACACGTAAAAACCACAAGCATAAAATTATGAACATACACCACATCCTCTTTTAACTGGTCAATGTAGCCCATGACAAATGTCAAGTATCTTCCTGTTTTTAAGTGAAATCTACCAGTTAACATATGAATAAACTCACATTAAAGAGAGCTTCAGATGTTCAGGTAAACCTTTGAAAAGTTAAAAACACAGGAAACAGTGTGACAATAAAATAAGAGTGAAGTACTCAGAAAAAGTTTGTTTGGTTACCTAACAAATAGCAAATAAACTCAACTGCTCTTCCAGTGCCAACATCAACCTGCAGTACCAAGGATGCTAAAGGCAATCATTTTCCTTATATCCTGCAGAAAGCTGTACAACTGATAGATTTTAAGTTTAACTATGCACAAAAATAAAAAATGGCAAATTTACTGGCAGGATGAACAGGTAATATAACTGCTTCTGTGTGGGAAATTTGTCCAATTCCCGAAGAACCCGCCAAAATTCGCATAATGTATGGCAAACTTTTAGAGTTGCTGTATGTACCCTGTACGGGACAGGCAGCTACAGTAAGGTTAGTATCATTAAGTAATCTATGTTTTAAAAAGACCCTGTTTGGGACCTTTGTGAGATAAGTGTGGAATTGTGGCATGTAAACTGCAAACGATAAGTAATTAAATATGAAAATGAATATGAAAGAAGAAATGAATGCAGAGCAAATCCATATAAAGAAAGAAAAAAGCAATGTCAAATGGTATGCCTACAATATCACTAAAACCTACTTCATCCAGCCAAGATAGACTTTGATGACTTCTCTCTCCTTTGGTTTTGCTCTGATTATCCAAGCTTCAGGTGTCGTCTCTTTAAACACTGAACTGACTTTGCCATCGTCTATTGTTCCATTTCGGTTGATAACATCATCAGAGACCAATGTCTGCGGAGTCAGCGTCTGAAGCTCATAATCTTGTGGGTCATCAGGAATGTAGAATGCCCTCAATGATGCCTCCTGCAATAAAAGGAAAAGGAATAATGGCCGCTTATTTAATCAAATCAAGCCCTGAACTATACAAACATGCCATACCTCATGAGAAGCCAGTTCCTTGGTGTTACATATATAGGTTACGTGATTTTACAGCTCATCCTACTACTGCGTTCTACAGGTATTGGATAAATTGCTGAAAAGCTTGACTTACCACCACTTCTTCACTCTTAGTGATCCTTGGAACAGAAATAATCCGTGGCTGATTCCGCTTTACTGCATCATGACCATCGTAAATCTTTAAACTTTGTTTGCCTGGAAGGAAAATGGTTAAAAAAAAGTTAATTGTATAGTACAAGTTCAAATGTTTCATGTTAACTGAAAGGACAGCGATCTGTGAAAAAGCATCAACATATGTATAACGATGTATCATGTTCGCTAAATGGTATGTGAACCCAGTAAGGATATTTCAGTTATAGGTGGAAACTGTTGGGCTGAGAGACTGGCTTTCTAATGTCAAAAGGATTACCAGCTCTGCTCTTGCCCCTCCCCCATGAAGCCACCCTTTGTTATTACAACATGGAAATCCAACAGTGACAGATAAAATGGGAGAAAATTCCAAATGATACGTCAGATGTGAAAATCTGTTATAAAACACTTATAGCAATATGCATGAATAATTTTAAAATAGAACTAGCATTACCAGATGAATCCATGTATACCGATTTAATTAATTTGATTTTGTTTAATTTACTACCCAATTTTTTGTTTTGTAAATCTTGTTTATTTTTTTGCACCACATTTACAGGAAATACACAAAAAGTGAAAAAAAGGAGGAAAGAGTTGAATAGGACTGTTTAGGGTTAGCTCAGAATTAAAAAGCAATTAAATAAGTCCAATTTGTATTTAAGAAAAAAAAACAAAAAAAACTTGTGAGGTTGCTTTAACTGCTTTAATCTGCACACCCAAGATCTAGTGTAAATACCTTGTAGCAATAATATGATCACAATGTATTTATCAATGATGCTTGTAAACTCCTTGCAGTCATCATTTCAGCCAGGCATGTTAAACTGGAGTTTTATGGGCTACATGCAGTCTTTTTGCCTTCTCTGCAGCCCTCAGTGGTTTAAAGATAGAAAACATAATGCTCCTTCCTCAAATGTATACATCCTTGCATTATTGTATAGCTAAATAGTTCAGGAAATACAGTGTTACCTTGGTTCACGAACGCTTCTGTTCGCGAACAGGAAATTTTTTTGCGAACTCCGCATCGGAGGACGAACAAAACCGCAGCCATCTTCCCTGCTCCGACACGTGGTCGTGGCTTCCTCTAGTCAGGATCGGGGTCTGATCACAGTTTGATTTGGTTCGCGACCAGAATCGTGGAACGAATTAAGTTTGTGAACCGAGGTAGCACTGTATTCGATAGCCCCTTTTACTGAGATTACGATTTCCAAGATACTATAATGAACACTAAAATTTCAAAGTGCCGTTAGCTTTTTCAGGAATTAAGTAGGTGTGGCTCTCAGTTGACTTAATGTAGCCCCAATGAAGATTTCTTACTCTCAATTCGGCCCACTGTTTCTTATGAGTTTAACATGCCTGACGTACCCAGAAGAGCCTGCAGCAGTTCCTGAGACATAAAGCAGTACTTGGATATCAAATTGATAGCTGGGTCTTAGTGATCATACTGACAGAACCACTGTAGTGTAGGAGAAGGACCAGGGTGTAAAAGCCGAGGCATTAAGAATGTTTTTTGATCATACTTTGTACACTCAAAAGGTCCTTAGTAGGTTAAATATGCAACAAAAGCCAATAAGGGCTCATTCACACGGGAATCGGCCAGCACGTAAAGCTCAGTGCTGTGTGCACGGCTGTATTGCCCAGCTCCCTGGAAGGACAGGTGCTGCGTGCGATTAGTCCTTCTTTATGGGAGTATGCGGCCATACGCCCCCCTACGCTCACCTCAAGTGCAGGTCCGTGAGGATGCATGTGTCCCGGCTTGGACGCAGACAGGATCCATCCTGTGAGTACGCTCAACCGCACGGACTTGCAGGGCGGGTGAGTGTAGTGCAGCTTACGACCATGTAGTCCCATAGAGAAGGACGGGGGCTGCGTACTAATCACACACAGCCCGTCCTTCCCGGGAGCTGCCCGATACGGCCGCGCACGCAGCACGGAGCTGTACGTGCCTGCCGATTCCCGTGTGAATGAGGCTTAAAAGGGTAATTAATGTGCAAGTGAAATTATTCGCTCATATTGAACCTTGGTGAGAAACAGTAATGCCAAAACAAGGAAAAAATAAAAGAATAACTTGCTGTCTAGGCACAGAAGTGTCATGTCATCTTCAGCCCACCCCTGAAAAAGTTGGCAAAAAGGGGGAAAAAAAACTTGTCTCTAGATTAGATCGAGAGTGGACCAAATCTACATGTTATTTAAGCAACTATGGGTAGGACATGCTCTGTCTTTACCAAGGTAACTACCTCAATATGATGACATAATAAATATGCTCTCTATAGCTCAAAACAGAACAAGTTTACTGTTCTCATGCTTGCCCTGTTATGATGATAACATAACTTTACTATATAAGCCCAAGTGACTAAACATGTAGTCTTGTCTAGTTCTGGGAAAATATAAAGGAAACGTTTCTTGAACATATTTCTAAGAAATGGTGCAGCAGAGGTCTGTAAAAAAAGTAGGACATAGGGTCATTTGTTAAAAAAAACGTTTGATCTTATGGGTATCAAGGCTTACCACAAGAATTACATGTGTTGAATAACCAACTGCAATATTTATCTTTGGTGTTTTGATGTGACTTAAAGGAAACCTGTGGGCTGCCAATGTTTAACCACTTGCTGCCCGGAGCGCATACGATAAAATCTGAATTTTCGGCAAGAAAACAGCTTCAGACCCCAAAACAATTATATATTTTCTGAAAGCAGAGGCCCTGTAGAATAAAAAGATGCTAGTTGTAATTTTTTATGATGCACGGTATGTGCGCAAATGTTTATCAAACAAGTATTTTTAGGACAAACTACACTAAAATGAAACTTAGTGCACAGAAACATAATATACTGCCCAATTTTTTGGTAAAATATAAAAGATGGGGTCTTGCCGGGTAAATAGATGCCAAACATGTCAAGCCTTAAAATTCCGTGCGTCCATGAAACTGCAAAAAACTACAATAACCAAAATTTCCCATAGGCGACATTTTAAAAGCTTTTACCGTTTAGTGTTACCAGTGATTGATGGGCCTAGAATTATTCCACTCACTCTGAAGCTTGCGACGATATACATCCTGTGGCACAATTTTTGATTTGGCACGTAGGCGCATCAGACGTGTGTTTGCAATGTATGTGTGTGCACGTGGGGGGCGGGGGACTTAAAAAATATATATATTTTTGCATTTTTTTATACTTTTTGTTACTGTAATTTTTACAATTATTATTATTTAATTTTTTTTACACTCTGCTTAATTGCATAGGGGGCTAACAAGCCCCCTATGTAATAGCAAATATGTGACAGGTCCTCTTTATGGAGACATCAGGGCCCTAATGTCACCTAGTGACCCCAAAGAAGCTGAAGTAGAGATCTGCTTCACCAGCTTCTTCTTCTGGCTCTAGGAGCCACAAAATGTGCCCCTTGACACTGGAAGTGATGTAATGCACATTACTTCCGGGTCCAGTGATCGCCGCTGATCTCTCCTCTAATCTGTCAGGGGAGACCTGGACACCGGGCCTGGGTCTCAAACGAAGGACAGTGGAGCCCGGGAAGGCGACGGCACTGGGGGGGGGGGTCTTGGTCGAGGGGCTCAGCGCGCCACACTATCAGCGAGCTGGTGCCTGTACAGATGCCGGATCGCTTGTATTTAAACAGCAATCGTCTGCTGTTTAAAGCGGAACCACTTCCAGCGGAGGACTTACATTTACGTGAACCCGCTGGAAGTGGTTAAAGTCACTAAACTCAGGAATTAAACCTTAAAACAGCATTCAAGTCCCCTAACTAACAACAAAAATGTATCTATTTGTGCATCACTCGGCTGTAGATCTTCAAGTCATCTATGAATTGGTGCCGACACTGCCCTTCCTTCTGGAGGGTGGCTACTTTTCTTCTCCATGGTCCCTGTGTGTTGTAAAGTAGTCACTGTTCAAAGCTCACTAGCGTGAGGGTTACAATCGCAATACACATTTGTAAACTAAACGTCAGATTGCAGTCCATCATAGGAGTGATCAAAGTAGCTGTGGCCACTTTGCAACACATCATAGGGAACAAAAGTAGCCAGCCTCCGACGATGTTCACACCATGTCTGGACCAAATCTGGAGCAGATCTGCAAATGCAGCAAAGTAAATTTTTTACCCAATTTTACTACGTTTGAACTGTTTTTACATTTTGTTTTAGCTTAAAATGTGTTTCCAGGTGCCATCAAGTACTTTCCAGTGCGTTTGCATGTTATTGTATGCATTTTTGATGCGTTTCCAGGCATTGCAGACCAGAGAAAATTGGACCAGCGGTATTGTTTTTGTCTGGTCCAGAATGGACGGCGCTGGTGTGAACAGAACCCAGAAAAACCATAGGGATACATTGGGATGCTTTTTTGGTCTGGGAACGATCCGGACATGGTGTAAACAAGCCATCCAGAAGGAAGGACAGTGTTAACACAAATTTAAAGATTATTTGAGGATCTACAGCCTTATTTGAGTGATACCCTTTTAGATTGTAAGCCCTCACGGGCAGGGCCCACCTTACCATCTTGTCTTGAATTGTATTGTGATGTCTGCCCTATATTGTAAAGCGATGCGCAAACTGTTGGCGCTATGTAAATCCTGTATAATAATAATAATACACAGATAAGATACATTTGTGGTTAATAGTTAGGGTACTTGAATTCGTTTTTAGGACTCTGAGAATTTCTGAGTTTAGTGTCACTATCTGCTGACCCAAAACACACACACACAATATATGGAAAGTCAGAGTTAAGTTAGGCCTCTTATTTTGTAAATTCATTCCAAATCTGTAACTTGGAAAGAACCAGCCATTGGATCATCATGAGACTACTGTAGGTAGAGTTCATGTTAGCAGTGCAGCATCCATGCTACCTCAGAGTACAGCTTCCTTTAATCTAGCAAGCGGCATTAACCCCTTCATGACTGAGGCCCTTTTTTCAATTTTTGCACCCATGTTATATTCCACATATTCCTGAAAATGACGTAAAACCCCCCAACATTATATATTTTCTGAATGCCAAGACCCTATAGAATAAAATGGTGGTAGTTGAAAATTTTTATGTTGCGCAATATTAGCGCAACTCCTTATT